CGGTGTTTTCTCCAATTCTTTTATGCTCTGTTGTTTTTTTTTGCTGCTGCGATCCTTATTCTAAGTTTTTATCTCAATAGGCTGAAAAATGGGCTTTTCTTAGCTGTTACTAGGGTTTTTTGATTACTTATGCTTATGAGCGAACGAATTTTTTGCTCACCGTACTCAGCTATTCGCACCAGGACCCACACGTACGCAATGACACACATTGTATAACTCGTCCAAGCGCCCCACTCTTCTTCGTTCTTCTGGTCTCATTCTCGTCCACCCCCCTTCCTAATGATATTTCAAAAACTTTTTTCCCTTGGGAATACCGATCAACGCAGTTTCTCCATCGCACCATTCCCTATCTTATCTTCCATTCTTCATCATAATCTGGATTACCCAAACTGACGTGAACTATGCCTTTAAGCACTTTTCTCCCGTGTTCTGTTGGGATTGTACAGATCTTTCGATATTTGCCTATTCGATGTATACGGCGCCACAAAAAATTAGCGCAACTGAATTTACTAGTGAATGTGGGGAAATCTTCGAGAATTCCGTGAGTGTATAAAAATGTATGCCGTTTCCAATTCTGTACCATTTTTATCTTTCTTGTATTTTTTAGAATTGGTCTTGTATCATCAGGTTTTTAGACTTTCTTTACCATGCTTCTGTAATATGAGGGCTCATTACCATTAGTATACCTCTTATAGTCAAGAATTTCAGAAAAAACTCAGCGGCTGAGGAGACATTGAAGATCGGGCACTTCCTGATGGTTGTGCCTCTTCTTAATGTGTTTACTAGATAACTTATTTCCAGCCACATTGTTTCAAGTAAGATCCAAATTAATTGAAGGGCCAATTTAAAGCTGTACGTATTCTTTAATCATGTCAAAACTGTACTATTATAATTTACTGTAATTTAGATTGTTTTAACTTGTGTTTGAGTTTTAGCATCATATAAGAAGTCTAGTTTTATTAAGCCAACTGTTTTGATTCGTATTTCATTGTTATCGACTGTGAACTACCATGAATGTTTTACCTGTGGAGAGTTGATCAAAAAAAACAGTGGTGAAATAATAACTCCACCGTGTTACCACTTATATGAGTTAATCCTTATTGATTTATTTCAATAGATGGAAGTTATACATAGTTGACAGAGAGAAGATCAGATGACAGACTCGCAAGACGAGAATCGAGTCGAGCTGGATCTTGGCGATGCGAGTGTTGACGTTTATCCAAGGGCTGTCTACACGAAGGAGGGACGCTCAAGCAGGTACATAATGTTGCGTTTACTGAGACCCCCATAGATCCTGCACATCCAAACTATCTAATCGTTGCTAGACCACAGTTCACATGTTACTTGTATATTTGTCAGGCTTTCGCAACGGTAATTGGTGGGACCCATTTTTTTTATTTCTTTGATTGCTTGGGTGGATACAGTTTGTGATTGGGGCCCTGTTCGCTACCAGCATTCACATGTATTCCTTGCTTGTGCCTTATGTACATTTGTTTTGGAATCAGCCTGCAGGAATAGTTTCTTTTTGAGTTGTCTACATGAAGGAATGAACGGATACAGTAGTTTATGAGGGATTTAAGCTGTATAGTTGAGATGTTCGCTCATTTCCTTGTTCTACGGTGTTTGTTGTATATGTCAGTGGTAGTTACTAGGTTCGCTCTCTTTATCGGTTCAATAGCGGCCCTTAGGTACTATATTCTACTCGTTATTTCGACATGGCATTCACTCAGATTGTACTCTCTCCTTCAATGACGGACGAGCGGCACCTTTGCCAGTAACAATTTCGCCGCGTTATTATTGATTTTTCCAAATACTCTAGAATGAGCTGCCTTCTTTGTCCTTTTCTCGGGTTTTGTTGAATATTTCTTGAGGGACATTGATATGGTTTTCTAACACGCTTACTACTTAGTTATGACGCAGGTACTTTCATTTCTTTTTTAGAGGTGATGTACACAGTTTTGCATAGCTCTTTCAAGCTATTCCTGGCCGATAAGAAGTCTACGTTTGCAGCTCATTAGCTATTTCTTCAACTCAATAAGCGCAGCTGGTTTCAGCTCCTTATCGGGTTTCTCCGCCTTGATTCTGGATCATTAGATGATTTTTGGAAAAGTGCGACAACGGAACTTTTATCACAGGGTAGGTGATGGCTGGTCGCAGTGCTGAATACGGCCGTACGATAAGCGGCGTGCATTGATATGCAAAGAGGCACTCGTCGGGCCCCCGCTATGCCTCACACACTCGCCCTCACTGCCTCACTTCCTCCATCCCTTCCCTCTTCACCCTCCGCAATGATGGCAGCGCACATATAATGACGTCAGGCTGTTCGCGGCGAAGGCTTGTGCTGACCATTTCAGTTGTGAGAACAGGAAGGAAGTGTGGCGGGCGCTGGCTGCTGCCCTGGCTCGGTGGTACCAAGCACTCACAGACGCGCGCAGAACGAGGAAAGATTATTCCTGATCTGTTCCAATGAGTAAATACGTTGTTTGTTGTCAACGTAGTAGTCGCACGTGTGAGTCGCGCGCTCGCCTCGTGACGTTTTGCCCCGTCTCGTCGCTGGCCGGGGCCTCGTTCGGGGCGTCGAGGGAGGGATTCCATGCGGCGTTCGCCTCCCTCGGCGGCACTTGTTTTCGATTATTTCGACGAACGCCGAAATCCAGCCGGCGGTCTTCGAGTTGTGGCGCCCATTGCACTTATATGTATCATATGTGGATTTCCTTATAAGGAATTAATCCAAATTTGAATCTGAGATGGCTTGTTTTTCTCCAGTTTCATCAGCACTGTCGTTCTCTCGAAAAAGACCTTACTCAGTAGCCATAGAAAAGTAGCCTCGTCGTTTCATCTGAGATAGATTTCATTATTCACTTTTTTCCTTCTTTTTTCCTAATTCCTCAATTACTCTTCGTTTTGAAACATTTACGAGGGGATCTTTAACGGTCCTTCCAACATTTTGCTCAGAAATGTTAGTATACCACGGGAGTTCTCCGTGTTCTAGTCACCCTCGAAGAGTTCTTGAAAACCAAGAGAGGAAGTACCAAGTAAAGAATCGTAAGCGTAATCAAGTTGGCGGCTATGTTTTTCATATAGGAAACTTTTGATTTATGGTAGTAAGGAATATTGTCACTAACTTAGTGTGGCTATTTGGACCGCACGGGATCGGCTCCTGCTCCAGAAGGCAGAGCTCGGTACTCATCCCTAATTGAGTAACCTTGACGAGATGCAGATGTTGGTAACTGTGCGCGTGTTTGTTACGTTTGCCCATGTGTTTATAAGCCGACTTAAGCAAGTGGGAGTCCAAAGGTTTGCATTTTGTCGCATGAATTCCTTTGATGCTTTTTCGTACGATTAAGCTTTCGATTGCCTCAGCGTTGGCCTGTGTTGCACTCGTCGTGTGGTTGTTTCCCTTTCTAATGAAATTTGTCTCTGTTCAGTTGAGCTCTCCCCTTCAAAAACAGTTCACAGATGTCTTGCAGTACGGCCGAAGATTGGATACATAGCCAGCTGCTCTCTCTTACTAATCAATGCCTTGTTCAGGATGGCCACGGATCCGGCTGAGAGGTATGTGCATGGAAATGCGAAGAAAACCATGACTCGATATGTGTCTACTCTGAGAAATGTGGTCCCCATACGAAAAACGAAACGGTATGTGATATAGATAGTTTTCAAGGGTTCTTCCTTTCACCTTTTTAATCTGCACTCCTACTATTTAGAGGGCATATTAGGTATTAGAGAAGTTCTTTTTCAGAAGCGATGTGAAGGGCGGTGCAAAGATCGATGAATCAGGCCTTTTCTCATTCGTCACGTATAGCTGGGTATTTGAGTACTTGTTTTCGGCGTTTAAGGGCAAATTAGATAAGGACCAAGTTTGGAACTGCAGTATCTACGACGCCAGTAATGTAAATATGGCGAGGTAAGAAGTGTTAATCATGTGATCGGCTGGATGTAGTATTTTGAGAATGATAGAGTGACCTCTCATACCAAAGGAGTTTCCGTATTTCTGGGAAATTTTTTCCCGGACTGTTTTTTACCCATACAGTTAAGGCGCTGAAAAACAGGTCTGAGAGTATCTTTGAACTGGTAGTAGTAGCGAAGCGTTGTTTTTGTCTTATCAGTAATTACAAGGGTCAAATTGCCTGCATTGCCCCCTCGCTATCAGCACAGGTGTTATGATGCAAGAGTGATGTTAGTTATTGCATTTGTTCGTAATATTTGCGTTTTTGCGAACAGTAAAGTACAGAGCCCCCTGGAAATATCGGAAGTATTAGAACTTATACTTTAGTGATTCAAACATTCGGTGTAAGGGCTGATTTGAAAGTGTGGCGCAAGGGTGTACCTCGGCCGCATGATTTCTTTTTATAAATACTGTCAAATAACCAGTTAAGTGAGCTTACTTTTGAATAATCATCATTAGCCGGAGCAACCACTTCAGTAGCCAGTATCATTAGGGATAGATACTCCGATGCTGGTGCTCAACCTTTGAAGCTTACCAACGAAGTATACCGGAGAACATTATATGACATTTCAAAAAAAAAAAAACGAGTTTGTTACGACGTCAGTGCAGTTATTTACGGCTTGCTGCGTTAGGGATGCGACAATAACGACCCAAGATCAAGACCCTTTGAATGTTCAAATGAAAAAGTTTATTGTCCAAAGCGACAAGAGGCTTGCGATAATGATGAGAAATGGTAGAATTTGGGCCTTTCCTTTGCTTTCTATCAGGCATATTTATGTCATAAATGAAAAACGTAATCGAAGATCATGCCTCCAGTACCAATTCCCCACCCCTTGCGGGCTAGCAATAAACTAGCAAAATTTCATGCGACAAACGACAATTCCTTTTTGAGCTCATAGACAACCTCTGGAGGTGGAGCCTAGCTCTGTGAATATGTCAGTGGTTAAAACGACGTTGAATTGGAACGAAATGTGAATATACTGTTGGTTTCAGAATGGAAGTATTATGGGAAGACGAACTGAAACGGAACCCTCAATCACCTTCACTTTTTCGTGCATTATTTCGGTTCATCAAGACACGTCTGTGGGCAGCTTGCGGCGTGTTTCTGTTCTGCTTGATATTCGGTTTCATTGGGCCTACATGCCTGATACGAGGTACGTGCTATACCTGGGGTCGAGCACAGGTTTGATTACAGTCTTGTGTGACTATTGAATTAAAGGATATTGTCTACAATTTCCTTTCCGTACCACTGACCGGTCGTTTATGAAATACTTGAAAACAATATGATACCGTGGCAGTAATCCTGCCTATTCTGATCATAAATTATTGTTATCTGCAGTGCTCTGTAAGCCGGGTCGCCCTTGAAACGGAGATCTTGCGCCCAGTGACGAAGTAGATCTAAAGAAGTTCAACGCGTTATTCAGGTCTTGTACAGTTTGCTGAACAACCTCCTCTTGCTGGCGAATCTGTGAACTATCGCACTGGCTTATTTCTAGTATTCGCCATCTGTGTGGTTAGTGAATTAATATTTTATTGTTTTTACCATTTTTCTTCAGTCACGGCGTTGTACCTTTTACTTGTTGTTATATTGTACTTTGCTTCTGGAGTTTATGTTTCATATGATGATACTAAAATCAGTCTCCTTTGAAACCTTGAAAGAAGCTTATAGGGTGGTGAACACTTAAACGCGCAGCTGATTTGTGCGGTTGAGACCGAGACCTTATCTCCACCATTTTGTTTTTTATCTGAGGAAACTCTGTTCCGTGGGTAAAATGGTATCGTTGAGTTGGTACGAGACTTGTCGTTTCAGTGCTGAGTGCATTTGTCACGAGTCATAATTGGTCCTAGTATCACGTTCCTTTTATCCGCTTACTCAAACCACAACGTTCGGGTTTGTATGCACTTTATATGCCCTCTGACGCTTCACGTTTCAATCGTTGAGACATCACTTTTTTAGAAATATGCAATCGTGCATTTACCTTTAATTACTCGAATAGAATAGTCTGTGTATCATGTGTAGAATGAGAGCAAAGAAAACTTTTCTATGAACGTTCAATCCTCATAGGCGATATGATGTCACGTGGTCAAGTAAAAACGTTCATTAGTGGCAAGCACCCCGCACTTGAATTGATGTCCCTTTTTTTCTAATTTCCATTGAAACGTCATTCAGCTAATAATAAGACGTCATCACTGGATGTTTTCCAGGTAGAAATAGCTCGTGTGTTATCATACGGCGCAACATGGGCCGTATCCTACCGTACTGGAATTCGAGTTCGAGGTGCACTTCTTGGTCTTCTCTTCAAACGGCTGCTCAATGCTCGGAGCCTTGGAAAGAAAACTGCGGCTGAGGTGGGGACCGTTGTTAGTTGCTCTGTTTTGTGATACCTCTAATATTTGTTGTTTACTTAGATCGTTAACATGTTCGCAAACGATGGTCAGCGGCTTTTTGATGCAGTTACATTTGCTCCTCTCGTGATTGTTGGACCTCTAGTTCTCATCGGTGAGCCCTGTCGTCATTTCTTCAGTTTGATAGTGAGTAATATACGTTTTATTCAGGAGGAATAGTCTATTTACTGGCTGTTGTCGGACGATGGTCGCTGCTTGGAATTCTTGTCTTTTTTATATTTGATGTCATTCAAGTAGGAAGCAGTCATTGAGAGTTTTGCTCACTGCTGCTTTAAATCGTTTTTTTCAAAGTATGGTCTCGGCAAGACGATGGTGCGTTGTCGTAACAACGCGATCGAAAAAACGGAGAAGAGGATCAGCCTTATGGGCGAGATTATTCGGTGCATTCGTGTCATAAAGATTAATTGCATGGAGGAATACTTTTCGAAGAAAGTCGAACGTTGGTTAATTTCTATCTCTAATCTACTCTGTCTACCTAACTTGTCCTTCCCATTAATATTCTTTCAGAAATGCGTCACGCCGAGAAAATTGACATTCGAACTGCCGGGTATGCACAGTCGTTAGCTATTGCTTGCGGTCCCGTTGTACCAGTTGTGGCTGCAATTCTTACTTTTCTCGGAGTAGTGCTTTCAGGAAATGATCTGCTCGCTAGTGACGTCAGTGGCGTTCGGAAAATTTTCTTCGGTAATTGTTTTGGAAGGCCAATTCAATTTCGTTATAGGCTTTTTCCGCAATAACCGTGTTCTTCGTCATGTTATTCGGCATTCGAATGATTCCTTATGGCAGCCGATACTTGGCGGAAGCATTGGTAGCGATGCGGCGGATTCAGGAAATCCTCTTGGTGAATTGCTAGGGTAGCATAGATTTGATTCGAATTATCTTAAGGTGCTTGGTTTGGCCCTAGCTAGCCATTTATACTACCCGCTCATTATCATTCGAACTCTATTCAAATATGGCGCTTGTTTTTAGCTTTATTCCTAGGCTTTTGAAGCAACAGAGCAGGCATGAATATTGGTAAGCAGTCTCACCAAGCATAAATTGCTTTCCCCTTTGTCGGCTTTATATTTTTTGCATGTGTGGTGGGATTTGTTAAGTCTGGCTGCCTTCATAGTGCGCCGGCCGGCGCGCGCGCGTTCGCGGGCGACCGGGGCACTATGAAAGCAGCCTTAGTTCAAGCGGGGGACGGTACGAACGTGCGTCCGAGGGTGCGCGCGGCGAAGTACGTGACGATTTGTACGACTGCGGCGCCAATTTTCGGGGCACAAGCTCGAAGTAGTATAGTTTAGTAGGGTTAGATGATCCTCCTAATCCACTCTATTTCAAGTTTGGGCAATGCTAAGCGCCAAAGTCGTTCAAATCATTACGAACTTCGCCGCGCGCATCCTCGGACGCACGTTCGTACACATACCCGGTTCAAGCTGGTGGGAGCGCTTGTTAAAGAAGTATGTTCTGTGGTGGGAAGGAGCCCTTACAGTGTCTTCGAGCAACAGGTAGGGGAATTGTCTTTGTTTTCCTGTTTCTAATTTGAACTATTTTCTTTTGCAAATTCCAACCTGCTATTTTTTTCATCATATCAAAGCTAGTTGTTAAGATCGTACACCGAGAGATGCTCTTTTCCCTCACTCTTCATTTGATAATACCAAGTGTTGTGCATCATTCAACCACCAACTCTCGGTGCTTTTTATCATTCCAAACAGGAGCAGCTGTAGAGGGCTAGGGTGAAGCCTAGAGCGCTGCGATGGCTGACCTCGACCGATCCAACTGCTCCATACTTGTTTTTAACTGTTACTATCTAAGTGTTACATTCCTTTGATAGCCAATTCGGTGGAATTTGAGACCCTACGAAATAGGATGGACTCAATACAGAATTTCAGTACGACCAATGGGAACCGGTTCAACCTCACGCACAGAATCAGAACATAGCCATTCGATTCTCCCACGCAACGTTCACTTGGAATCCTCCACAAGGTACGGTTAATTCCAATCTGAAAATTCGGAATAGAGATGATGGTTGACCTCTTGCTCTTGCTTGGCTCGTTTGACTACAAAAGCTAGGGCAATGTTCTTTCTGCGCACGCCTCCTGAGTGTAGGCTCGAATTGTTTTCAGTTGTCGCAGCAGAATGCGATCCTGAACCATTCAGTTGTTGCGTCTCAAAACCGTAAAACTGTTCTCCATCTAAAGCTGTCTACGAAATGCCGTGACTTTTTAGTTACCGTAGCCATTTACCATTTATATTGCATGGCATGTGCCCTTCCAATTGACCGAACCTTGAATCTGAAGTTTCCACATTTCCATCTTTCACAAATACAACATCTATGTAATTGTGTACGCTTTAGCCGAATCCAGCTCACCTCCAACTGAGTCGACCCCTGTGAATACAGAACAATCAGCATTTGCTTTGGATAATATTACGCTGAACATTCGAAGGAAGGAATTGACCGGTATTTGTGGAGCAGTTGGCAGCGGCAAAAGTGCTCTACTCAATAGTATCATTGGACATGTAAGTATCGAATGTTTTCATCAATGACTATTAATGACTTATTCACATTCAATGGAATATCATAGGGTATAGCTCTCGTGAAGTGCAGCTTATTTAGATGTACCCTGTGAATGGGCAGGTAGAGATTGCTGGAACTTTCGCCTATGTTCCTCAAACCCCATGGATCCAGAATGCTACCGTTCAAGAGAATATTTTATTCGGTTCAACCATGAATTCTCAACGATACTACAAAGTTGGTTATGGCGCGTTTATCGTAAAATTCAGAAATTCAAAATTAGTGAATTTAAGGCTGTTAGCAGCTGCCAACTCACGAAAGATTTGGAAACACTGGCAGCGGGAGACCAAACTGAGGTTTGTGAATGTGTGATCTCACGTTGTTCTTCAAGGTTCTGTATCTAAACTTCTTGTTTTGTGGGTAGCTTCCTTGTCTTTAGATAGGAGAGCGAGGTGCCACACTTTCTGGTGGACAGAAAGCTCGAGTTTCATTGGCTCGAGCTATTTTTGCTCATAGAGATATCTATCTTTTGGACGACGTTCTTGCTAGTATCGATAAGAAAGTGGGTTCCTTTTGTCTAGTAGTAATATAATGTGATGCGTTTATAATTAAGTCCACTCAAGGTTGGAGACAAGATCTTTGAGAAGGCTGTGCGTGATGTGCTCTCGAGCAAGACTGTCCTAATGGTCACGTCAGATCCCCAGGTATTTTATACTACTTTCCGGCTGGTCACATCTTGTCTGATGGTAACGAGGCATACTACACCAGAATTTTCGTCTGTTTCGTGCAGGTTATACAGCGCTAAACAAGCCTTTTCCAGCGGTTGTCTCAGTGCGATCGAGTTGTTTTCGTAGATAACGGAAGAATAGTGGCTCATGGAGAACACGAGGAATTACTTGCGACATGTACTCAGTACAAAGAATATTGCGAAAGTGCATTTGTACACGGACGAGGTGAAGAATACTATAAATATGATTTTCACAAAGATAATTACAAAATACCATAACATGACGTCGTTTTAGAAGTGACTTTGAAGCAAAGCTTTTTGGATAACTCGAATTTAGAGGGAAGAGTGGCTTCTCCAACAGAGGATGAATATGACAAAGTATCTCATTATTTTTCATGCGCATTTCTCGTTTGAAATGAAAATCCTGTCGAAACGATTTCTGTTTCAGGTCGATGACGTTGATATTCGCGACGCCAGTGCGAAACTCATTTCAGAGGAAGAAAATAAAGGTAAGGAGCTATAGTCTAGGATTTTGGTGATATCCCAAGTATACTTTGGTGAGCTGTGACTGGCCGTAATGGAGGTGTTCTTGCGCGGATTGTGTTGTCATAGGAAGTGAATGCTTACCTAATGATTTCTCATGGGGTGTTCTCTACTTTCTGTGTAAATATTGAATTTGGTGTAGGAAACGTCTTTATTATTCACTACAATCCCGTCATAATGTTCAGGTAAAGTCGTCGATGATGAAGAAGACCTAGGCTTAGCTGCAATGTCGTTCAATGTTTACAGGTCAGTGGTTTCTCCTACTTCGATGGCATTAATAAGTAAACGTGTCTTTTTTCTTTAGAAGTTATATTCGAGCCGCTGGCAGTTGGCTGGTGTGGTTTTTGTTGCTTGCCGCATTTATTCTTAACATATCCGCTTCAATTTTCTCCACTTTTTGGTTGTCACGTTGGCTCAAGAAAGGTCACCATGAAGAGGTGTGTAGTCTATTGATCCCGTTTTTGTTTCCAAAGTAGCCAGTTTGTTATTGTTGCAGCTAATCGAAACTAATGGTAGCGTCCGGTTGCACTCGGAGGGAAGTCTTGCTGATAGCCCTGATACGCCATATTACTCGACGGTGTATGGCATTTCACTTGTTGTACTTTTCCTCTCGGGGCTTGTGAAAGCCATGATTTTTGTGAAGGTTAGTTTTTTCTTGTTGTTCATTGTTGTTCATTACTTTCAAAAAAAAAAAACTATGCTCTCATTTTAAAGGTTTCTCTCAATGCTGCCAGTCGATTGCACAATGGTATGTTTTCGTCGGTGATCCGAGGGACTGTAGGATTCTTTGACTCAACGCCAACCGGTCGTATTCTCAATCGGTTTTCGAAAGATATGGATGAAAGTGAGTAGATGCCATCAATTCATGATAATTTGCTACTTCTGCTACTTTTTGATCATTGCGCTCCAATTTATTTCGAATAGTTCGTGCGTTGGGCTTTGTGGAATTTTACTTCGTGTTGCCATACCCATTGTGGACATGCTTGAACGCTAAAAAAAGTGCTGTTAGCTGATGAACTTTGTAGAGTCAGCGTTTCTTCTAGAATTAAGCCCTGAGTACTATATTGACGTATACCTTCCAATCGCGTCATGCAATATGCCTTTGCTACGGGTTATGAAGACTAAAAAGCGGATGGACTGTGTCGAACTTTTTTACTAATCGGTTGCACAAAGGGTTTTCTCTAAATCGTCATGCAACCTTGGTGTTTTTCACGATATCCATTTTCAGTCGATGTCAAGTTACCCTTCACTGCCGAAGTATTCTTGCAAAACATGATCACATGCATAGGATTCCTTCTAGTCATCGCTTGGGTATTCCCAGCATTTCTTGTAGCCTGCATACCACTTTTGGCCATTTTCCTGCTTTTTGTGATGTGCTTCCGTGCTGGAATCAGAAGGTAACTTCTTGAGAGTTCTATCTTTTATGTCGACAGGTATACATGCTGGATTTTTAGCCTAAAACGCTCTGAGAACATTTCACGATCTCCTCTCTTCAACCACATTACCACAACAATTGAAGGTCTAGCCTGTATTCATTCGTACGGTCAAACGGTTCGATTCCTCGAGATACTCAAGCATCGTTTGGATGCGAACAGGTGTGTTAGGATTTATGGTCATGATAACTTTAAACAGGCAAATTTGATGGTCATTGTCTAGTCTTGAGCTTTTTCTGTTATAACTTGTTTCAACTTGATGTTTGGCTACTGCTGTTGTTTCGCCGCGGTAGGCGTCCGCAGGTCTCACAAGGTTGGCGAGTAATCACGTTGTGGTGTGATTCTGATAAGCTATAGCACGAAGGTCAATAAGAAGACAAGGGCGAGCAGAGTCTCGGTGTGTAAGGAATAAGAGCACCGTGCCCGGATAGCACAAGTGCGGGTTCGAGTCCCGTTCGAAGTCGAAGTTTTGTCCCTAAATCACCAACCTTGTGAGACTTTCAGAACGCGTACTGTGGCGAATAATAGCTTCTAAAATATATCAAATCAAAACAAACAGTACATGAAGTTTGTTTATTTGTCAGCCATCCTCATTTTTTTTGAGCCTCCCTAGAATCTCTGTTTTCAGTGGCGCTGTCTTCATGTTCCAATCAGCAATGAGGTGGCTGGCTGTGTGGCTGGATCTTTTAGTGGTGATGATCACTTCTATCGTGGCATTTTTTATAGTTGTACTCACCGGAACCATTTCACCAGCCGATGCAGGAATGGCGCTTGCTTTTGCTGTTCAGGTACTTAGACCCTCCAAAGGATTGCAGTAAAGCAGTTCCGAGCGGTCTGTTTGCAGATGAGTGGTATTTTCCAATTCGCTGTACGTACGCAGACAGAGCTGGAAGCAAAAATGACGTCAGTTGAAAGGGTGACATATTACTCTGAGGTACGTGGTGAAATGTTATCAGCCTAGTCGACAGTTTCGAAATTCGTCCAAGGCTCTTGATAAGAATATTGTTTTCATTCAGAACATTCAATCAGAAGGCGACTGGGAAACAAGAAAAGGTGTGGACGTGCCAAAGGAGTGGCCTCAGAATGGACAGATTGATTTCCAGAGTGTGAAGTGCGTTGTTTCCCGTTAATGTCGCTAGATGATGTTTATTCAGCATCTGATTTTTCTCACAACGAGACGTAGCAAATGTGCATCGTCGCCGCATACCGTTAGCAGTACAATTTTGGTTGCGCTGCCGTACTCTTATCACAGGCTGTACCCATCAGGCTGTTCAAAGCCTTCATGGCGAGATCTCGCAAAAAAGGGGGCGTGCTGCAGTAGGATCGAAATTGTCGCGTCGCGGCGAGCGGGATGCCGCGCACGAAGGAATGTAGCAGAAAGCAGCAGCAAGCAAGAAATACTGGAATAAAAGAACTAGCAGTAGAATCATGCCTAAAGTAATGATCGCATATCGATTGAGTTGTATGAAGCATGCTAGAGCTGTAATAACAGCGAAGCGAATGGTCCGCGACCAGCCGCGTGCGGCGAATCGATTACGCGAAACCGATCCTTTTGCCCGTCTCCCCAAAAAGCCGATATGCTCGGAAATTTATCGCCTTACGTGCACAGGTCAAAATTTTATGTGAGGTATTCTACTGACGCATGAGAATTGTAGGCTTCGCTATCGGCCAAAGTTCCCCATGGCTCTGAATGACGTCACATTCGAAATCAAGCCCAAAGAAAAGATTGGCGTTATTGGAAGAACTGGCTCAGGTAGGAACTTGTGTGAAGTGAAGTTGGTCAAGTTAAAGTTTCAAATGTTATATCGTTCAGGAAAATCTTCCATAGGAAACGTTTTGTATCGATTATACCCGTTGACATGGGGTAGGATTTTCATTGACGGTGTCGATATTGCAACAATTGGTCTGCACCGCCTTAGGAAGTAAGTTTTACTCATTTCTGTTCAGAATGAGCATTGGCCTTTTTTAGAGTCGTGTTTTGTAAACGTTTTTGTCTCCTCGTCATTCTTCTCAACATGTTATATTTACTTTGTAGTACTAGGTTCAAACTCTGTTGTGATTGATAATACGTTGAACCTTAATTGAGATTTTACAAGTCAAAATAATCAAAAATTATAATATTAACATTATATTATAATATATCATACTGAATTTCTTTGATTTTTCAGAGCGATGTCCGTCATCCCTCAAGATCCCGTGCTGTTCGCTGGAACCATTCGATCTAACCTTGATCCAAATAACGTTTTCACTGACTCTGAGATATGGATAGCTCTAGAGAGGACCTATCTCAAGCCGACAGTTAGTGTTATCGCTTTCTATTCTCTCTGCCTAATACATTTAGTAATTGCCTTTTTCAGATCACCAACTTCGAAAAGAAGCTCGAAGCTGAAGTTACTGCTGGTGGAGAGAATTTCTCAGTTGGTGAACGTCAGCTATTATGCCTCGCTAGAGCTTTACTGACGTGGGTTCTATTCGAAGTTTCAGCTTTAATCTATCTTTTAATAGTTTTAGAATTTTTAATCCGCTTTTCACGCTATCGTGAAATGTCTTTGTAGTACTTGTTTTTTGTTTGTACTGCTTGTACGATTTAGTCCTGACGTTAATGATTTAGAAAAGCTAAAATTGTCATGCTAGATGAAGCGACAGCGAGCCTCGATATGTCCACGGATAAGCTCATACAAAAGGTCAGGCTTGATTTTAAAGTGAAACTTGTAGCTCCAGTCATCCCAGTCATTTTTTCCCATTTTAGGCAATCAAGGAAGTGTTCGTGGATGCGACGGTTATCCTTATTGCTCATCGTCTGGAAAATGTTTATGGAATGGATAGGGTTTTGATGATGGATGGTGGAAAGGTAAATGTTTTCAAGTGCTCAACCAAAACCCAAGTTATTTTTGAATATGTTTTGTTAGGTGGTCGAATTCGACCGTCCCGAAGTGTTGCTGAACAAGACGGCATCGGAGCTGCGGATTTTGGCAAGCGAAACCGGCCACGATGAAATCTTGGTCGAATCTGAAGGCGCCGGTAGTGAGAGCTCACCAGAAATCATGGATAAACGTGAGGTTGCCGGTGACAGTGAAAGCACCCCGGAGATCATCAATAAAGACGTGTCCCCGGATTCGATTAGTATACCGGAATTGGTGGAGAAGCAGAACAGTGACGATGAAGAGGACGACAGTGTGGAGATCCTCGACCGGCCGGTCGTGAATCAATCGAGTGGTGACGACGACGATCTAGAAATGCTGAATGTGCCGCCGAAAGCATGACCGGTGTATGGATGTACATAGATTCTACATGGAACCCCGTGGTTTCTGAGGTTGCCGCTACAGTTGCTGGTAGTGATGCATCATGCAGAAATGGGAAAGTGGAAAATCGCCGACGATTATATCATTCTACTCTGCTCTAGCTGAGGCTTCTTTTGTGTGGATTCCCTCTCTCAGGGCCAGTGCGTTTTGTAGTGCATGTTTTGTGTATGTGAGCGTTGTTCCCATCAGGGATGAGAAGAATTTTCGGTTTTTGCTTTCCGAAAATGAATCTGAATCGAAATACGGCACTCAACGAGACAATGCAATCCAATTCTCATTTGCTTTTGGACACAAACTTTTGTTTTGAAAAATTTCAACCGCTTTACTGCTCGTATTTATCGCCCTTTACCGTTTTCGATTTCCGCAACTCCATGTGCATTCGTGCTCATCCCTGATCTTTATATTTGCAAAAACGATTTTACCTTAACTCGATTTGTTTTTTTTTTTTAGCTTTCAAATTTATACCAAATCATACCGCTTGACTTGTACTATGTGACACTTACATTCCGTTAACCATAAGTTAGGTATGAATAATTATGCTTGCTATATTTTACTACAACTGAATTTAATTCTNACTACAGAATCGAAATTAGACGTGTGTCCATAAACAGGTACTTAAAAAGCCATGCCTCTTAGATGAACCAAAATTCTGTGGTTAATTGTAAAATAGCCTAACCCCAATCCCCCTTACTTAGCCCATCCTATTATCAATTCCGAGTGATTAGTAGTTATGCAATGACGTTCTAGAGTTTATTCTTTGTTTCTTTTTTATGACCTGATTTCTCTCCGTCTCTCTGTCCCTCTTTCTCTGTTTTCTTTTTTTTGTTTTCTATTTTTCCTCTGTTTTTATGTTGTTCCATTCCCTATCCGACTTATTGTTAGTTAAAAACGAATGTGTAGGTACGAGTGTTCTATTGCGAGTCCTATTCTCTAAGAACATGTATCAGCATGAATACTGGATTGTATCCCTCGCTAATTTGTTATGCTTCACACGAATATTTTCCGGCATTCAGGATCTGTACATATATACACTGAAATAAATTTCGGCGTCATGATTTCCAACGCAACGTGGATCTGTTTTTTTTATGAAAATTTGATAACCCTATGAAAATCTCACGACAGTTTGACCGATGACGAAGCTTGCATAGCGGTTCATATAGAGTCNCATTCGTATGCCTAGATAGTAAAGGTTAAAAAGTAAAAAAAAATATGACATTTGACGAGGGGTAGCGGGACTTCTCCCCGAATTCCCGCGGCCTGCGGCAGTGGTTCCGCGGCGACTCTCCGTATCCTTCCATTGGGGATTTAAATCTCTCCCTTCATGGCGCGTGATCGCGTGCGGCGAGCGCGACGCGCCGTTCGGGGAGAAGATACCAGACTCCTGGACGAGTGCTTTGGAGCGGACGGTTCAAAGGTAAAATCGGAAAGTATGACGCTAATGTGATAAGAGACCAAGCGGCTTAGGACAACTACGGAACGTGCGTTTGTGGACCTTTTTCTTCTTTTTTTCCAAGTAATCAAGTTTCGTTCACTCTGGTAAAATGTCTTTTCGAAAAACAGTAAACTAATTCAGTCGCCACTGTACTTCATCTCATGTGATGGATCAGCTTGTACCGACCTCTTTCGTTTAAGACCTCCTTTGTTAGTAAGTAACGTTCTAGTTACTGGGATTTGCTCTATGATATGCTTAACTCTGTGATATGACAATTTAAGTATTCCAAGTATTTCTTTAGTGAAGAAAAGGCGAGTTGGATTTGCCATAAAAGTACAGGGATAATCACAACAGTAGTAGTGTTCGAGAACTTCTTGGCATATTCTAGCATGGGTAGGCTTCCATGGAAGTGCCTCAGTCATCTACGAGCAAGTGAAAGGCCCTGCACGGGTATTGATTCATCATTTGATCTTGGATCAAAAAGAGTGGTAGCGACAACACCTTAAACCTCACCTCCACCCAGTAGCCACGTCGTAAATGCTTGAAGAAGTTGTTGGGGAGTAGAGTGGCTTTAGAAGATTACTATAGCAAATAATGCAATAGCACCTTTAGTGTTACCTCAGATTCATTCATGAAGAATCTGAGCTTGAGTGAGGTACAGAGAGATTGGTCTTCCCAAAGCAATAAGTGTTCCATGGGTTATTCTGTGTCAGTATGGGAAGGCCACTGCCACTCATAGAGCTTGTCAAACTTCTTAAAATTCTAGTATGGTAACGTATCGTATAAAGTTTAGTATTAGAAGAACATTCCGTGAAAATATAAAAGTAAAGACATCGTTTTGGGAGAATGAATTAATGGCTCGGAAGGCAAAATGCGTTGAGTGCCCTCCATCATCAAATCTAATCATAAACCTCTTCACTGCTGAGTTTTTGGAGAGTTTTTCGTTGGTTCCAGAACTGTCTTGCAATACAGGTACCCTGAAGGCCACCAACATTGGCTAAGATTCCACTGGAAAGCAGAATAGCCAAGATTTATTGACTCTAAGTAGTATTGCTGATAATTCGGTGTGGTTTAAAAAAAAGTTCTGGCCATTAGTCCATCTTCAATGAAAGGTCTAAATGAGTTTGGCGATAGCATCTTTAATGGGACCTGGTGTTGCATGTGGTTTTGCCAGTCCACTAGCCAAGCGCAACGGTTCTTAGCTAGTTGCCTCAACTATCTTAGACAGTTGACCTACTCAATGGTTTTGCAGCGCTCCACATTATTTCAGCATTCCCACGTTACCTTTACATTTAACCCTTTTTTATGTCACAAAACCGTTACATAACTTCACCATATAGTTCTTCAGTTTAATGAGAAGGGTGCACAAGTGATCGTTTGGTTTTATTCAAAACCTCACCTTTTGTTTCCGAATGGCATCCCGTTGTTGCACCACCAAAGTTCCTCAATCCTTTCTTCGGATTCGGATGGTGTTGCTATTTACTAAACATCATCCTCACCCTTGAAATGATGAGACGGTTAGCAGTTTTCCGTAGTTCATCTCCAAACTGAAAGTTGGTGTCATTCTAACGGTAACCACTCTGCTGTCCGCTAATCATTCAATTCTTTGCTTGAAAGTCACATTCAAAAGTGAGTATGAGCGTATTCGTCTGAAAATATTCTTCATGAGGACTCAAGAGGTCGTTTTTCAGGGTGGTGGTAACTCGATAGGGAGCAACGAAGTCAACGAAATAATCTGCTTTTAAGCTGCCTTCTAGCGCTCGCAGCTAATGAGGAAATGTCGTCTCCCCTTCGAAGATTACCCTTCTTAAGAAGTGGCCTGATTGAAATAAGCATTTATGACTGCCTTCAGCTATGAAGGAAACCCTCTTGCTTCCTTTATGTGTTGTGCCGTTAACAAATCTGGACTTTTGTTTACTTTATCTAGTGGTGGAGTACATTCTATTTTGCTCAACAGATAATCGCCTGGCAATTGCATGTCTAATTCTTTACAGCATAGACAAAAGTACACAAGTATGTTGTAAGTTACATGGGCTGGAAGGGCGTAGATGCCCTCGCTATTGAAAGCATTGGTCATGGATCAGTGAACAGCAGGTCATGCTGAAAGGTGTGGTTCTGTGCTACTTGACAGACCAGACCATCCAGAAAACCAAAATGGAGAAGATAAATGTATGAGGAGGTTTTCTAGAGGTTACCTCAAATCCCGACGTTCCGGATAGGAGAAAAGTTTTGCTTTTCCTATCGGCTCCGAGGAAAGGGTTACGATGTTTCCTTCAGCACACAAGGGACCACACCCTTTCATGGGTGTTCAAGATGAGCTCTGTTTTTACCTTTGATATTGATCCATTTTTTTAATATTTTTGATGGTCCATCGGTGAGAGGATCTTCTCAGGGGGACCACAGTTCCTCCATACCACCCGATATTTCGCGAATTGCATCCGAAGTGGGCCGTTTTCTCTAAAGTTTGAAAAACTATTCGCCCACCGAGTCGGCGGACGTCCTGATGGTCTTGTTTTATTTCTTTTTCATATTGTTTCATTACTAAAATATTTGTGCAGATCGTTTTGTTTTTTTTTTTTGTTTTGACCCCTTCCTTTATGATAAGTTCAACGTACGCATTGAACAGCCCAGGACAGCGTCATGCATCTAGTGACGTTGAGTTGCTGACGGATGTGGGCTCAACCCAACTCAATCCACTACTGCTAGAGCTAGGTCTTCTCTTCCAGTTGACCATTAGCTGGAACAACGGAAGAAAGGGGGATAGGAGGGAGAGTTGCAAGCTTATCCTCTATATTGTGGTAATTCATACCAGGCATTTTCTTTTATCTTATTTGTAACAATATTAGCACGAGGTTGTTGTCGTGTACGGTTAAGGTTATCGTCGTTTAGCTGGAAAAGTAATCCGGCAATCCATAAAACGAACAAATGCCATTGACTGGAGTAGCAGCCATCCTGTCATCGATCTCCCACGATATCCTGCAATTCCTTTAAAAATTCACTCGAGAATCCCCTGACCTTGTCCACCTGTGTCCAGTTATCTGACATCACCTTTCCATGCTTGAATCAGGACATGCGATCTGATCAATGACTGTTTGTCAACAAGAGTAACTGTTTACATTCTTTCTGCCGCTGTGATCTACAGAAACATTGGAACTGGCGATCAATTGAGAGACTGGCCCTACTGCTCACTATTACTCGCTCTTACTTGAGCAGTACAATAGTCAACCTTTAATTTTTGAAACGTTCTCATTGTTCTCACTTTTCTTTTTTTCTCAATTACTTCTCTTTGTTTTTCGGTAGATTATGTAGTAGTGTATATAGTAACTACAGTAAAAGTAAAGCATCTGCCGTCAAACAGGCTTATTTCTGGGAGTGGCGTTTTGATGACGCCGGTGGCCCTTATCATGACTTGCGCTAGCAGACCGACGTGCAAGTCAGAGCTTTTCGAGGCAGGGTATCTACCCAGTACCAAGTCTACTACTAATTAACTGGCTTCGGGGATGTGTTAATTGGGACGAGAGCTGGGTGG